CGGAATTGGCTTACAATTCAAATGTACTCAAATAGAAGCAATTAAACCATATTCCAGTAAAAAGACTAACAATACAGGCAACGAAAAGAAAAAAAAGCAATCTGGTACATCAAAGTTATGTAGGGGTTTGAGAGAGATCGGAGCTCCAGCATCCAGAAAGTTAAAAGGACCCAAATGTTGTATAGCCCAGCGTCTTTGAGGAAATAAATAACTGTCGCTAAAGTGAAAGGTTCGTCGCCCAGTATGTCCCTAATGTTGTTGGGAAATGCGTACTGCTTCCGTAGACGTTGGTATTGCTGACACAGGCATAGGATGTGTTCGACCGCTGCAGTGGTTCCGCAAACGTAGCACATTCTGTGGAACTGCGTCCCAACAAAACTATGTAAGATCTTTGTATGGTCTGTCCTAAGACGAGAAACCACACCTTCTGGTCCCGTAGTTTCGACATATCCGTCCACTTGCTCGTCGTTCCTTTGATTTTTCGGATGAAGAGGGATTGGGATTGGCACCACTCTGCTTCCCAGGCTTCACACATTTTGCTGACTATCCATCGCTTTATTTCCTGTAGAGGCACTTCGTCGGTGTAACGGGGGCCAGCTGGTCCAGACCCTGCCAGGCTGTCGGCTTCGCTGTTTCCTGGGATACCGCAGTGCCTAGGGATCCAGGAAAACACCGTGTTCGGAGGTTTGGCCTCCACGATACCCTGTATCCAGGGGTGAGTCAGGGTCTCAGATGTAATTATCACGCTGTACGAATCGGATAGCACCAGTTTGGCCGGTCAGAGGGTGTTGTAACGGCAACAAAGATGGCCGCAGCTTCGGCGGAGAAAACCGAGCATTGTGGCGGTAGGCTGCTTCTCGTTGGTGCTGAAATTCCGTCTACTCCAATTCTCCTTAGCGCTGCAGAGTCATCTCCAGCCTAGAACCTGCTCTTTATCCGACTCTCGATTTTTGGTGGAGGCATGCGCCAACTTTTGTCTCCGTACCAGTAAACCTTGGCAGTCATGCGGAGGAGTCTGTTCCCCTCATCAAGCAGAAAGTTCCTGTCATTTTCGGAGGACATTGCTGTAAAAGCAGCGGCTTTCGTTGCAATTGCTGCGGTTATACGATAGCGGAAGGGCAGAATACCCGTTGACGGAAGAAGACCGGATACAATTCGAATGTAGGTGTTGAAAGTTGGTGTTAGTATCTGCACGCAGGCTTGCAATTGCTCATTATAGCTAAAATGCTATTTTTCGTAATTATGAAACAATGAGCTACTATAACGATTATTTTTATTTGTAAGATGCAAGAAGAGGTGGTAAAGTTTGTGTATGACATATAAAATTTGTCAATTTTGCTTTCAGAAGGTCACAACTAGTGATTAGCTGTAACGATGAGCAACGTGATGAGCGAGCAATCAGCGATCATAAAATCGTTAGTTGTGACCTTCTGAAAGCAAAATCGACAAATTTTATATGTCATACACAAACTTTACCACCTCTTCTTGCATCTTACAAATAAAAATTATCATTATAGTGTCTCATTGTTTCATAATTACGAAAAATAGCATTTTAGCTGTAATGAGCATTTGCAAGCCTGCACGAGCTTTTCGGTGGCGATGCACGTCATCTCAAGACCGTACAGTAGGCGACTATCGATGACGTCTCTTGCAACCCGGAAACGAGTGTCGTGATTGTTAGACCGGCGGGGGCGAGAGATGGTGCGGATCAAGTTGATCCTACTGCGGCAGTCGTTCTTGATCGCCTTAAAGTGCTGGTCGAAGTTGAGGGACCGGTCAACAAGTACCCCCAGAATACGGACCGTCTTCTTCAGTGGTATGGGCTGGCTTTGAACTTTGATCGGTGGCCCGCTGACACGGTGCCGGGATGGACACACGTGGCACCTGACGCTTTTGGTGGCCGAGAGCTGGTAACCTACCGCGCTGGACCACCTGGCTACAGCGGAGACTGCTGCCTGGGCCTTGATCCTGAAAAATGTGAACATTTTCCGGCAGTCCTCCGGAAAACTCCGTTAATGACCACAAGGAAGAGTGTAACGGCGATAACAGAACCTTGTGGGACGCCATCTGAGAAATTTTAAATTAAGTGAATCATGGGTCCACACAGTCCCCAGTTGACAAGCTGTTCTAAGACTAGGGGCGTCCACGTCCTGTTTAAGGCCTTCGATATATCCAGCGAGACGATCTCGGTGTGGAGACTGCTATGATATGATTACATCTAATTACATTTTTACGTCTGAGCACACCTGTTATACCAGATTTTTTTCAAGTATAACATACGCACCAAATTTCGAGTTGCCGATAATAGAACAGCTGGTTAACACGCAGTTCAAATGGAAAGGTTGCCGAAGAAAAAGAGGCTGCCGACAATAGTCACACTTACCTGAGAAGTATGGAGCGTCTTAAAACCGTTTTCGACCCGTTTTGGATAATTCTGTCGATTTGAATGGATATGCTATTCAGCAGATGAATTTAAACAAACAAACACGTGATACAGTGTATCTCAAAATTGATCGTACAGTAGTATGGTTTTTATCTAATTTCCTACCTACTAAGCACATCCCGCACTTTACCTCTCTTTTTTGAAAGGGTTTGAACAAAACATGGAATGTATTCAACAAAGAAAAACTTAAATTTATTCACCTTTCCATACGTACCGTTGAATTTGAAAAAGAGTGAAACAATTATGAGATATTATTAAAATCTAACACTGCTTCTTGATTCTAAATTCATCCTACGAGTTTCAATTCCGTCCTAACGCATTGAAACGCCATTAGATTTTGTTCGTCCTACGTATGATGGTAGAAAAAGTGGATTCGCTAGGAGCGCTTCTTTTGTTTTGAGAATTTTACACTCATTAAATATTCATACAATGCGCTGTAATTGGCTTTAAGTTGTTGCTTATGAACTAACGGATCGGAACAAACGTTTTATTGATTTGTGCACGGTGAAATCATTGATATTATTGATAATTTATGCTCGAAAACGGCTCTGAAAGCACAAGTTAAAGAGATGCGTCTCTGAATTTTTGGCAGCTGACTCAGCATACATTTATTATTTATTGGCTCAGTATTGGGCATAGTTAGAGCAATTAAGGTAAACGCTTTTTTCTTGAAAAACCTTATTTTATTGCAAACATAAGTTTTTGAAATTTTGCTCATTATTAGTCGTAAATCTGCCACTAATTCTACTAAAATTCGTCCACTACGTAAAAAGTTTAAAATCGAGCGTTTTACTAAAATAAATCTAACTTCGTCGCTCATTCATCATTTATCCTCAGTAACAACATACATTCTGAAACTAGAATTGTTTTTTTTTTATGGTTCTGACATTGAAAAATTTTGCAAACCCTAGATTTTGGAGAAATTTTCAAGAATCTGGAATGAAAATGAATGTTCAAGACATCGGAGAATAAATAATATTTTCCAAGAACCCATATAACAAATAAGGGCTTTTGAAAAGTTTTACAGCTTGTGACTTAAATGAATTAATTTGATGAGAATTTTCTGGGATCTCCAGGGGTAATTTAAAAGGATTTCAGAGGACAATTCCAACAGGAGAATTTTTAGGAAAATTTGAATTCTTTTCAAGTTAGTTCTGTTGAACTCCAATTTCCAAGTGAAAAGTAAGGAGAATTCCAAGGTAGGGGAAACACTCCTATAGGTACGTTAGAAGCGTTAGGTTCTTATAGTTGTGCATGGAGACTCAATACACAACTATAGGAACCTAACGCTTCTAACGTACCGCAACTATAGGAGCGTTTACCCTAATTCCAAGAGAGTTTTGACTAATATTGTAGCCATTTTGAGAATAATTCTAAGGGATTTGTAAGGAGATCTCCATGGTACTTGTGAGTGGAACTGGACGATAATTCCAAAATCATTATTTGGAAAGGAACGAAATTTTGAGATAAATTTCAAAGGAATAATTAGGAGAGTTTGAAGGCTATTTCTGCAATACTTTTTAACGATCTCAAAGATGAGTTTCTAGAGAATTATGAGGAGCATTTCGCAGCCCCCCTCGTAACGTATTTTGCTATTCCTAATACATGGCCGGTCAGAAATTGGCTCTCTCCCCTCAAATGCTACGTCATTTATGTATGTTACCTAAAAGCTCTTTCAATGATCAGTCGTGGAATTGCTCAAAAATCACTAAGCTGAGGGCAGGTTTACTATTCCAGTGGGGTCATAAAAGTGAAGAAGACGGAGATGTCTTGAAATATTTAGGATTTCTGACGTCACAAAGCACATGTTGGAACTTGGAAGCAGGTTCAATCTCGTTTGCATTTTCCAGTGGCATGAAACCACCGCACATCATTCTGCTCCATGATCTGAAATCACTTGTCCTACTGCCTTTTGTTTCTGTGTTGTGTAATTTTCGGTTGCCACTGCTTTCTGACATCGTTATCTACTCTGACTTGTTTGTTTCCAGTTTTGTAACCAACAGAAGACATACGCATTCAAGTCAAGTGATGTATGTTGTAATAAGATGTGCTAATCTTTTGATGTTTTGCTATTCATATTGATGGAATATCGAAGCAACCTGTTAATTTTGCCATTGAATCAGAATATGCCTCTGTGCCAAAAAATTTAAAATCGAAGACAATGTTGGATTCAAACTAAATGTAAAGGGTTTGACGGCTGCTCACAAGTACATTCAGGAACTTCTATTCCACATACTGGCTGATTCCCATCCGGTGCATAATACCCTGTCCCTCTACTACGGGAATAATTATGTACATCTTCCCCCCCATCATCACCAAGCTCCAAACCCACTCACAGTCCTCATGAGGTGAGCTCACAACGCAGAGCGCACCTCTGACTGCTGTGTGAGAAGGACTGAACATTCACATCGCCCCGCGCCCGCGGTGAGAGAGTTCGGCATCTCTGGGTTCGTGTGGGGTGGAATCCCCCCGAACCGAACGGCCGCCGATCTTGGGGACGACGGAGCACGGTGAGAAAGCTGAATTAAAATTTTGCTACGTCAAATGAATGGAAAACAGTTGTGCTCCGTTGCTCAAGAAGTGCTGGTCGAAACCGCAGTTCGTCGCGCGTTTGATGATCGTTCGCCTTGCTTTGTTATTTTTGATTGGCCGGTTGCATAGTATTGCTTCTTACATTCGGTTTTTTTTTGTGGCTTTCCATGGGAGCACAATACTGAGAAGAGAGCTGAAGTTGGATAATCCAACGATCAAGCGAGTGCCTTATGGTAGATGCCGTTTCAGGATTTGATGGTTGGAGGAGATATGGGAAAAAATATTAACAAAGCATCAAGCAGTGTTGAAATGTGTGATTGAAAAATAGAATAAATCAGAAGAGCAAAGGAGAAGTGTGGTATTTTGTAAAGCGGATCGTTGAAAAGAAAAGTGATCGCCCGAGTGTAACTGCACCGAAAGAGGATGTTGATTCGTGTTAGCAATAATCAGCCGGAGAAGAAGAGTCAAGGTAGCGCAAACAAAATTGCTGACGAGAGCTCTGAGTACAGTGAAGTGTAGTGCAAATATTTTCGTTGAATAATTTCATCCTGTCTACTGACGACGACGACGACGCCGCCGACGGTATATCAATTGAATGCTAATATTGAGTGATTTGAGCTTCAATGTGCATGCTAATGTTCGTGGACTCAAAGTGAACGAGATCTTTGATTGAGAGTGATCTTAGTACTTGCTGACGTCACATACACACACTCCAGGCAGAGTAGAGTCGTAGTAGGCGTCGAAGATCGGAATCTTTAGGGTGTCGACGTAATCGCGAATGAGAGGGAGTAGGTACATATGTACTTCATTCCACCTAGCGAAAACATCAACAACAATCATCATTCATCGGGCAAAGCTCTGCTCCGAGAGGCAACACGTTGAGATCGTTAGTTCGGTTCGATCGTCATCAGATGCTCCTACCACCCCTCCGACCGAGTCACGCTTAGTCAGCGCCCGAGAGTCGCACCCTACCTTGTGCCCGTATTCCGTTTCGTCACGCAAGGGTTCGCTGCGAGAGCTAGTTGGTTTCAGATCCCCCCATTGAATCAGTTCACCTGCGGCACGGTCAACGGCTCCGGATCTTGCGAGTTGTCGTTTGGTGAGACGTCTTCGGGTGGAGAGAGAAAGGGAACGGCAGCGTGCTGTTTTAGAGACTTGGGACCCTCCTCGGTGGCGCAAAAACCGGTTGGGTCGTCTCTGACGAGCTGACCTCTTCTTCGTTGCCTTTGCTTCAGCAGCGCCGGACTGGTTCATTCAAGCAGATATACCTAGGTGGTAACAAGCGCGAAGAACCGCCACGGCACACACACACACACACACATAGAGTGAATGGGTCATTTGCAAAGCGGATCTTGTGCGCTACGATAAATATTACACGGAGAAAACTGCGACTGAAAGACGAGACACAGAAAGTTCCTATTTTGCTAACGAAGGAGTTTATAGGAGGAGGATTATATTTATTAGACCGGCTGAGAGATTGGAAGATGCTTATCACCACTAACTACAGTCAAAAGGTAATTTATGGCATGATATACCACGAACACGTGTGAGATTGTTATCTTGTTTGGTTGACTGACTCAGCAGGATGTCGATATTTCTGTTTTTCGAATTCTATTTGTATCACAGAAAGTTTAAATTTATAACTGAACGTTAAATACGCATTTTAGTAAATGGAAGCCGTTATCTCTCTATTTGGATTAGCCTTGTATCAATGGGTTTCCAAACCCGAAATTTATTCAATCACTATTTCACCAAATCACACTGGTCTTAACGACATGATCGTTTGTAATTACGCCAAAATTTTTAACTTTAGGTATTTAGTAAGTTGAGAGAAGTTTCTTGACATTTATGACTACGTGTTTTGATGGTATTATTGATTAATCCCCCAACAAAAAAAATATTTTTTAACAAATGTTGAGATAGACAGAAGGTGTCTTCTGCAAAGTTGTAGTAATTGTTAAATCACTAATCTTCAATCTCTTAGCGCTATCGTGCTAATGAGTATTATTTGTAGGCTGTCCCTTAAAATCTTAATCCTTAACTTTTTCGGTGTAATTTTAACAGGCTTGAGATGTTCTAAGGATTACTTTTCCTAATAAAAAACAAAACATCGTTTCTTAGTATGGAGTTCAAAAATTGGCCAATTTTGATTAAACAAACTAATTCTTTGAACATCTCAAACCTGTAAAAATTTCACACACAAAGTTAAGGACATACGTCTGATTTTAAGGGATCGTCTACAAATAACGCGCTACTATTACATCACATACCCACTACCAGCCCTGGAAATCTCAAAATCCAATAAATTATATTCATTAGTTTCGTTAATTTGACGTATTGCTGAGGATTCATCGAAGATTGTACGTATTTTCAATAATTATTTTATGTTTTGGGGGCAGTGGTGGCACAAGTCCTGGAGTTTAACATTTTTTCCTTAACATTTGATACTTTTTGCGATAACCATTGTGACGACATACAAAAACAAACTGGCAAGCGGCAAAAATGTCATGACATTTCTTAACTGTTTTCTGCCAGCGACAGAACATTTTCGCACAAAGAAGCAGACAAGACCGGCGGCGCGCGCGACATAAATTTATGTCGTGTAGAATTTTGCTGATTTCTGGCTTATTACTGCATTTATTTGATGTTTATTGCATGGAATTAAAAGATAAGAATGAAGACTGACCACTCATAAGCATTGATGTTAAAATTATGCGTAAATAAGGGAGTTGGTAATTTACTGTCACACGCAAGCCTGCAGCTAAAATTTCATTACAATAAACAGTTTGGAAAAATCAGGCTGCGAGATTTTATTCATTCTCTATCTCCGCTGTTCGCTTGGAATGTAGTTATAAACGGTCGCCCGTGTGCTGGCTGTTTTGTTTCGGTCTGGACGATGGTTTTTCAAAAAATGTACTGTTGCCACCTCTGTTTGGGGGTCAAATGAACAGTTCACGATGGGGGTAAAATGAAAAGTATGCACATTGTTCATTTTTCCTCCATCATATGTTCATTTTACCGCCAGCTCCCCTATGAATTTTTGAAATTTTGTATTTTTTAAATTAAAATTGCTCAATAATTTAATTCAGTGTCAGATTGTATTAAGTCTTGCTTAAGTCTTGGATAAGAGTAAAGTACAGTGGTCATCATGATATCGACCATGTTGTTTGATCATGTACCCTACACCGTGTTACCAGATCAAAATTATCCACATCCCTTAGGGCCCGGGGAAAACAACCCGCGATACCCGTTAGAGATGTCTTAGCTAGCCGAGATCTCGACTATTTGAATTAAATTTATGTGTTTTTAAAACGAATGAATCTGAGGATTTAGTAGTTAGTGTCATCTTGTGTTCTCCCAAGTTGTTAGCTACCCATCGGTGTACCCCCATGTTTGTCTTTCTCATCAGTATTTCGCTTAGTTCGAGATAAAGAGCACATTGCTCTCCAAACCTTGTGTTCTCAATCTCTACCATGCCATCCATTTGTTACAATTTGTTACATCTAACTTCGAGATAGCCGCGAGTAATCGGCCCCCGGTTTACTAACGTTAGTTTTAAGTAATTTTGTGATCTAAACAATGAATATCGCCATCATCCCCTCGTCATCCCTCCCAAACTGAGGAGTTTTGTTAAGAGAGATGATCAACCCGATTCGTACCTTCCTCAAAGTAGTCCTTGCTCGCTTTCTAGTCTCTAGATACAATTTTCACACTGTCGCACTCTAACGGAACTTTCAACTCTATACTTCCATCTCCTCATCTATCGTATAAAATAACCACTTTGACGCTTAGCATCTTCAACTATGTCAAAGTTGCCAATTTTGTATGAAAATCGGCATGCGCTGCTATTATATCGAACAGCACTGTACCTACAAGCTAATATGTTGGCCTATGGATCTAAGATTGGCCCCATCGCTAAAAATCTGATATTTATCAATTTTATCTAGATGAACGCGTCATTGGAACGGTACTTATGGATATTTTTGGTCGCTATTGAAAATTTAGTCGATTGCTGAATTTATGTATGGGCCCAAATAAGGGGCATTTAGGCCGGTATCGCAGCCGAACTCATCAAGATGGGCCCAGAAAAGTTGGCCACCTGCCTGCACCGGATGATAGGATCTGGGAAACAGAACAGCTACCGGAGGAGTGGAAGGAGGGGGTAATCTGCCCCATTCACAAGAAAGGCGACCATTTGGAATGTGAGAACATCAGAGCAATCACCATTTTGAATGCCGCCTACATAGTGCTATCCCAGATCATCTTCCGTCGTCTATCACCTAAAATGACCGAGTTCGTGGGAAGTTATCAAGCCGGCTTCATTGACGGCCGATCGACAACGGACCAGATCTTCACCGTACGGCAAATCCTCCAGAAATGCCGTGAATACCAGGTCCCAACGCATCATTTGTTCATCGACTTTAAGGCGGCATACGACAGTATCGACCGCACAGAGCTATGGAAGATCATGGACGAGAACGGCTTTCCTGGGAAGCTGATCAGACTGATCAAAGCAACGATGGACGGTGTGCAAAACTGCGTAAGGGTTTCGGGTGAACTATCCAGTTCATTCGAATCTCGCCGGGGACTGCGACAAGGTGACGGACTCTCATGCCTACTCTTCAACATTGCTCTAGAAGGTCTAATGCGACGAGCCGGGCTCAACACATTATCGCAAGAACATTTGGAACGGTGGCAGAACTATACACCCGCCTGAAACACGAAGCAGCAAAGGTCGGACTGGTGGTGAGTGCGTCAAAATCAAAGTACATGCTAGTAGGCGGAACCGAACATGACAGGATTCGTCTAGGAAGTAATGTCACGATAGACGGGGATACTTTCGAGGTAGTGGAGGAATTCGTTTACCTTGGATCCTTAATGACGGCTGACAACAATGTGAGTCGTGAAATACGAAGGCGCATCATCAGTGGAAGTCGTGCCTACTACGGGCTCCAGAAGAAACTACGGTCAAAAAAGATTCACCCCCGCACCAAATGTACCATGTACAGAACGCTAATAAGACCGGTGGTCCTCTATGGACACGAGACATGGACTATGCTCGAGGAGGACCTGTAAGCACTCGGAGTTTTCGAGCGACGTGTGCTAAGGACGATCTTCGGCGGTGTGCAGGAGAACGGTGAGTGGCGGCGAAGAATGAACCACGAGCTCGCTGCACTCTACGGCGAACCCAGCATCCAGAAGGTGGCCAAAGCCGGAAGGATGCGGTGGGCAGGGCATGTTGCAAGAATGCCGGCAAAAACCCTGCAAAGTTGGTGTTCGCTACTGATCCGGTTGGCACAAGAAGGCGTGGAGCGCAGAGAGCACGATGGGCGGACCAGGTAGAGCATGATCTAGCGAGCATTGGGCATGACCGAGGATGGAGAGCGGCAGCCGCAAACCGAGTATTGTGGCGTACAATTGTTGTTTATGTCTTATCTTAAATGTGATGTTGTACAAATAAATGTATGTAGGCCGACATTACATCCATTTTCCCTATAGTATAATACTTTTTTCTCAGAAGTCTAATCGATTTTCAGTCTTTGGCAAAGTTTTTCTGAATAGTATTCCCAATCTATTTCCGAGATGTGGTGAAATTTGAGCAATATTTCGGTTCGTTTCGTTTCTCATTTACAGGGGTTACTCAAAATGACTAGGATAGGCAAATTTTTGGTCAACTTTGGAGTATTGTAACTTCGTCAAATATGATCCGATTTTAAATCTTCCAAGAGCATTTGACTGAAAAACTAATATTGTTTTACGGTGCAGCCACGAAAATAATCCTGGTCACCGGGTACCGGAGATATTTTGGAGATTTTATATATGATGCTGGTTAAAAATATATAGTTTTAGAAAAACCATTTCTTAAGCGAATTATATGCCAAGAACTAAAATCGGCTTATAATCAACAGAGATATGACCATTTCCCTGGAATCGGTTCTGGTGGAGGGTTCTGAATGCGGGCAGATCATTTAATCACTCAAAGCATGCCGTGCGACAGCTCTTTCTTCATGGTTTCGCGTCAATAGACTTTCGATAAACTTTAAATGCATAATTGAACATATTGGCCACTCTCGGAACTTCCGGTATGCCTCCGGGGAACCTGGAGTAGGGGACAATTGTATTTTTACACCAAAACATGCCGTGCGACAGCTCATTCTTCATGGTTTTTAATGAATAGGCATTCATTAAACATCAAATGGATCAGTGACCACATTGACCGCTCTTGGAATCACGGGATACCCCCAAGGGAAATTGTAGCAGGGGACAATTGCGTTTTTACTTTAAAATATGCCGTGCGACAGCTCTTTCTTCATGAATTTTCATGAATATTCTTTCTATAGACTTAAAGTGAATCATTGACCACATTGGCCGCTCTCGGAACAACTGGGATGCACCTGGGAGAACCTGTAGCAGAGGACAATTGAGTTTTAATTCAAAAACGTGCCGTGCGACAGCTCTTTCTTCATGGATTTTCATGAATATACTTTCTATAGACTTAAAGTAAAACGTTGACCACATTGGCCGCTCTCGGAACCACTGGACAATTGTGTTTTTACTCATAAAACATGCCATGCGATAGCTCTTTCTTCATGGATTTACATGAATATGCTTTCTATAGAATTGAAGTGGATGATTGACTACATTGGCCTTTCCGGAGTCACTGGAATCCCCCGGGGGAACCTGTAGTAGGCTGAAATCACATTTTTGCACAAAACAATGCCATTGGGGGGCTAAATCTGGTACCCGCAGATGCCCCAGGATAACATGTAAAAGGAACATTGTATTTTCACTTCACAATGCCGTTCGACAGCTCGAACTATATGAAGTCTTGAAATGGACCATTGACTACTAGCAGTGGATGGGGAGGTTAGGTCTTTAAACTCTGGTTGTAGACCAGTGATGCAAAATATCATGACACTCACGTGACACTCGTCTTCGCATCAACCGACTATCGCTGACAGATCGTTTTGTCACGCAGTGAGAGTTAGAGCCATGGCAAACAACAATCACCAGTAATGGTCGCTGCTCACAAGCAAAACGTTACAATCGCTGCTGATGATGAAAAGCACAACGAAAACAGTGAAAACTTCTGCAGTACGATCATGAGAAAAAGCGAAACGACAGAAGAAAATGAAAACAATGCCTACGCATTCCAAGTTCATCTCGGCAGGCGCGACTGTGTGAGTTACAAACAAAGCAGGCAACATGAAACGGAAGCTGTTGGGTTCACTCACCAACACACTCACATAAGCAAGCAAAGCAGCAACTGCTTCAAAACGAGCACAGATGAGTGTCGTGATTGTCGGGAATGACCAGATCGGTGATGGATCACAACAGAAGACGACATTCATCAGTTGCTTTTTACTTCTTTCGTCAACTTTATGGATGGTCATGGAGAGAGCTTCGACGAGCACATTGATAGGAATGTACAAAGCGTTACTACCATCAGCTGTTTGGCGATCGTGATTGTGATAGGTCGCAACTCTGTTGTAGACCAATAAAAGTCTCTCTTGTATTAATGTAAGTTGTAGCAAGAGCACAACAACAACTCTTTAATGAACAAAATGACTATCGACGTCAGCTCTGGAGAAGTTCGCCAGCACTTTTGTGCTCTCTAGTGATTATCAGTGAGTGCCATTTCCTGCCTTTGAAATAAAAAAATAGTGACAGTGCGAACAAACCATTATTATTTGAAAAGTTGTGCTTTTAATCTGGGTTCCAAAGCTATTTGCTATTTGCAAAGCTATGTATTATTTATGAATTATTATTTATAAATTAAGAATGCCATTTAAAATTTTATCCGGCCCATGTGTGTTGTTAATGGGTGCGAATCCTACGCAGGTGTGGAAGCTGCCTTCCTGCACATTCGGTTGCCGTCAATGGATGGCAATCGATGTCCGTCGGTGATTGGCACTAGATTGCGGAACAGAGACCGACGTTAAATAAAGGAAAATAAATTTAAAATTTTATGAAAATGTTATAATGGAGCCGTCTTATATGATGTTGGACCACCATTTGCTTCAATAACAGCTTGGATTCGTCTGGGAATTGAATCATAGAGTTTTTGGATGGCTTCTAGTGGAATATTGTACCATTTTTGGATCAGAAGATGTTCAGGCGTTTTTAACGACGATGGAGGAGTAAAAACGCTTCGAAATTTGAGGCCTTGGTTGGTTCCCTTAACACATAATGCAAGAGCAGTGGGGAGCAGGGGGTAGTGATCCACCATACAATTTGGACCCACCCCAGTGGACATAGTTGATTGGCTTAAATGTTTGAAGCTTGGAATTGTTCAAAAGATTTACTCGAATATTCTTCTAAATAACCTTGTGGTGTTTGTTAAGCTTTTGTTTTTTTTCTTAATAAATTTGCTAATTGAATTCGAACACGCTTGCATCAACGGCAGCAGGAGCTCCGTGAAGTAGTTATTAAGAGCACGATAACATTATTGTAAACAAGCTGCCAACCTGAACGATGCGACGAAAGATGAGCGCTTCTGAGATAACATCATCCATCTGCAGTCTACACTGCATCAGCAGCGGCGAAGATTGTGTTATTTAAATATTGCTAAGCATACACACTTTAGGCGGATGTTTACTTATTCTCAGCTTTTCGGAGAGCTCGTATTTTGCGCTGCCATTATCTGACTCACACACAGCGTTCTGATTGCGTCGTTGAGCAATTCCTGCGCACTGCCCGTAGAAGACAGTCGGTCAGTAGGTAGGTATTGTTGTTTTGCTGCAAAACCTCAGCCGCGGTTTCTACATAAAAAAAAACCAGTCTTGTGTGCTGTAGTGAGAACTAGCTGCAGGTATGCGAACGCCTCAAAACAAACAGTTTACCCCACATGAGGAATGTGTCTTGCTCTTGCATGACGACAGTTAGTACAGGTCTAGAGATAAAGTGTATGATGTAGTGTGATGGAAAAATGGGTACTTTGTCAATCAATCTTGCCAATAAGGGGTACTGGGGTGACTTAATTAATACGCTATCGATTGGCTGCCAGCAAGGTGTAGCTAGCCAGATAGGCGTTATTGTCATGCTAATTGAGAAAGGAATAAAGAGGCAACTTGAATGCGGGGCCTGGCGAGCTTATTGACTGATTGCACAGTGTTTTATGAACCGGGAAGGTGCTGAATAAATGGCATAATTGACATAAACCTGTCTTAAATTGCTACGTGGGCTCAAGTTTCAATCGATGGAAGTATCACAGTATCTGTCTTTTTGATAGCATTACATGAATAACATTTGTTTTTCTATCCCTCGTTGTATATTTTCCATCTTCATATGCAAAAATGGTAGTTTTGTTCCTTATTGCAAAATATAAGACACGTTTTTTTTTTGTCATTGGGGTGACCATTTTCATGTTAAACTGGTCCAAACAATTATTTTTAATTACCTTTCATTAAATATTTTGATTTTTGAAATCGGCCCAATGGTTCAAAAGCTATGAATTTTTGAACAAATCTTTTTAAAAAAGGACGATTTTTTGGATCACTCTAACATGGAAATGGTCACTCTAATGACAAAAAAAACGGGTCTATTTTTTGCAATAAGGAACAAAACTACAATTGTTTATGATATTCTGGGAACCACTATATCGTTTTTGAATAAATAACAGCCTTCTTTTGGAGCACGACCCCCCCCAAATCTACACTGATAACTAACGGAAATCGTATTCTCTCTTCCGCAGCAATACCTGGACTCACTATGCGTAACCGAAGCCGAGGACTCCAGCTACGACAGCGACTGCGACGGAGATGACCTCTCACACCAGCAAGTGTCCCGGACTACCAGTGACACGCTGGGCCAAGAGTTTGCCGAATATGTCAGTCATTCGCCATCGTCGGTGACGGTAGTGGACTCCCAGCAGCTGGACCGATCGCCCGGATATACCCAGCGCGTAGAATTTGCACTTAAACTAGGTTACACGGAACGGCTAGTCCAGGCGGCACTGCAGCGACTTGGTCCCAGTCCTGCCCAGAATGAGCTGCTTGCTGAGCTGATCAAGCTGGGATCGCAGCCCGGAGCCAAGGGTTCCGGTGAGTTCAGCGTCGACGGTGGTCTCAGTGATTCACTGTTGATAACGTCGTCGGAATATGGAGCACCGCCCGGAACGGGGAGTAACACTCATGCGATAATCGGTGGTAGTAGTGTCAGTGCCAGTGAAGAATCTCTTCGTCCAATAGTGATAGATGGTAGCAATGTGGCCATGAGTCATGGCAATAAAGAAGTGTTTTCGTGTCGGGGCATACGGTTATGTGTGGATTGGTTCAAGAATCGAGGGCACAAAGATATTACGGTGTTTGTGCCCAAGTGGCGCAAGGAAAGTGCCCGACCGGATAATCCAGTCAAGGATGGTGAAATCCTGAACGAGCTGGAGAAGGAACGAATGTTGGTGTTTACTCCTTCGCGATTGGTGGGTGGCAAACGCATGGTGTGCTACGACGATAGATATGTTCTAAAGGTGAGTAAACCATTAGTCATTGAAAGTATCGCTTGCGGTTGCTGCTTTGTTGACTCATTAGGAAGGTGTGATTGCGACTGTTTATTTGTTTGCCACAAATTGTGATTTTAATCTACATGCTCAGATGACGAAATATTGTTCTACGGTGTGTCGCAGTTCATGTTGAATTCGTTCCTGGAAAGTTGGCTGCCAGATAAACTGATTTAAATGAAATTGAATGTCGTCGTCAGCTGTTGAAAACAATTACCCGGTTGTGTGGTTGGATACAGGTTCTCACTAGTTTTTTTTTTGTTTCACGCAATTGACGAATGTTGCGTTTATTTGAAAGACTTTCTATGTAAATGATTAATGAAAAGATAATATTTATAACAAGTTAAGGTTAAGTGATTCATACAACTCGTCAGAATTTTGAATGGATTGCTTTTGCCATCGTAATTTTTTTTTAAGGAAAATCATCTCATAATAAGTTAATAGAACTAGCGCTGCAACATGTATGAATCATAGCCGCACAGTTTTTTTTTTGTAGGTTTCAGTCTTAGTCTAAGTTTGTTAATAGGATCGTTAACCTAGTAAGTAATTTAAGTGCCACATTATGCAAGTTAAACTCTATAATGTGGGCCATGATTTGTCATGGAGACTCAAATGGTGGCGAAGATTCAAATGCACCAGCCACATTTAGAACGATATGGGTTAAAATGTTTACCCAATATGGTGGATACACTAATTTTCGTTCATATTTAAATGCTCTATCGTAAAATTAAACGTTAACGATGCGCTATGTAAAACCCCTATTAAATTTGTAAATTAAAAGTCTATTGGAAACCTGCGTCTGAAAACTTTCAGCAATTGCTTTCAGTTTTGGTAGACAAAAAACACCGCACATCAGCTTCAATGTCTAGTGTAGTAAACTCTTTCGTTTTAAATTGCAACATTGCAGAAAATACAGATCTTAAAAAAAAAACTTGATGCGAATGGCAGCAGCACTTGCAAGGCTAATTCCACAATATTACCAAGGACCAAGTCCAAGGTAGACGACAGGATAGCCAATAGACTGATGCAAAATTTGAAATGTTTGCTCCACAGTGCTCAAACGGTTCCAAATCAGGTCCTTATTAGCCTCCCAAAATTTAAACTCATGTGGTAAGAAACTGACTTGGCACAAACCTTTTGAAGTTTATGTGGAAATTACTATGAGAACACCAAACATCGTCTTCTTTCTCTTTTCCATATTGTACTGTTAACAAGTTTCATCACTATTCTTATGGGAAATTTTCTCAGCTACAACTTTGTGGAAGATCGTTTTTCAAATTAAATGGTTATTAATTGTTTAAGAGATTGTAGAGGCATGATTAAGCAGCAGTATTGTGGGCAACACTATATTATGCAGTGTGACATGCACGTTATTTCCAAACAACCCAAATTTGAGTACGATCTACTCATATCCATCGCAACTAGGACTATTGAAAATTAAGTAAACAAAGTCGGGATTGACAAGATGACGGATGGACAACATCAGTCTCAACTTTGTTTACTCAATTTGAAGTAGGCCTACTTGTGCCGGATATGAGTAGATCGTACTTAAATTTGGGTTGTTTAAAAAGAGCGTGTAGTAGCCATGATTTTTTGTATATTCTACGCGCCAGAAACACCAATGTTGCCTGCTGGACAGTTGATATAGCATAATCATAAGACATCATTGACTTGAATCATTGATAGCGTTTGTTCCTTACATTTAATCGAACAGCGGTCTTGAACAAAGTTGTAGCTGAGAAAATTTTCAACACGCCTAGCTATCATTTTCTAAAGCAGAGTGAACGGGTGAATTTTGAGATATAAAGGGTGTCCACGATGAAATTGCCACACTATGAAATTGCTCTAACTTTTTAACCGTTGGGTAGAATTTAATGAAAATTTGGGTGGATTTAGTTCATAGTGCATTATTTACATCCTGCAAGTTTTAAAGTCCTGTGATCAAAACTCGCGGAAATGGAGTCGAAAGAACAGCTCGTGCGTGATAAAATCTTGCGCATTCATCACGAGAACAAGGATCCCTCGCATCGTTCCATCGCTAAAACGTTGGGAATCGCGAATTCCACGGTGTCGCGAGTGATTAAGCGGTTCGAGGAACGGTTGACCACCGATCGGAAGGCCAGAAGTGAAGGAAAAAGTATTCCGTACAACACCAAAAATCACAACCGCGTAGTTGGGGCCTTCAACCGCCAAAATCCGTGCCAAGAAGTTGTACCTCAACATGCTGACGAAAGTTGAATGCTGCATCATGGACGACGAAACATATGTGAAGGCCGACTTCAAACAGATCCCCGGCAACCTGTTTTTCACGGCCAAGGATAAGTTCAGCGTTCCGGAGCATGTCCGCACTCAGAAGATGTCCAAATTTGCGAAGAAATTCCTGGTTTGGCAAGCCATCTGCACGTGCGGGAAGCGGAGTGCACCTTTCGTGACCCAGGACACGATGAACGGACAGGTGTACATAAAAGAGTGCCTCCAGAAGCGGCTGCTTCCTCTCCTGAAGGCCCACAACGTCCCAACAATCTTCTGGCCGGATTTGGCCTCATGCCACTACTCCAAGGACGTGCTGAAGTGGTATGCGGACAATAAGGTCAATTTCGTGCCGAAAATGTTCAACCCTCCCAACACTCCGGAGCTCCGCCCCATCGAGAAGTACTGGGCGATTATGAAGCAGCACCTTCTTAAACGACCTAAGGTAGTGAAGAGGAACTGAAGAAAGTATGGGTTTACATGCAAAAAACGGTTGATTCACAGGTTGTGCAGAATCTTATGGCCGGGGTTAAGGCCAAGGTGCGGGCATTTGCGTATGGACTGTAAATAAAATACGAGTAAAATGGTAAAATGAAGTTTAATAGTTATTTCTCAATCCCTGAAAATTTGATGGCAATCGGATGAAAACTCGAATTTTTCGAATCAATTTTGTGTGTGGCAATTTCATCGTGGACACCCTTTAATTTTCAAAAATTGGAGACGGACATTTTGAGATATTTAGGTTTGTTTGCGTTTCTTTTATAATTTTTACTTGAAATTACTAAAAACATTTATTCGTATATTTTTTCCCAGAAAAATCATTATTTGACTCTACAACTTTGTCTCAGACGTTATTTTGATCAGATGTGCCATTTCCGTGATACGTTTTTTTATATTTCAAAGGTCATATGATATTTTAGTTTGGTACTGTACTTTGATAGCTTGTTTTTTTCAAGTTTCGGAGGGAAAATGCGTCGACTACAGTGACCGCTTACATAATTGGTCCGGGGTCTTGACAAATTTTCAATGTTTGAATTACCTAGATAATTTCAAAATTTATATAATATGCAATTCTTTATTGGATAACAATAGAATTTTCTCAACAATTTCCTTAGCATCACCCCAAGATATCTTCAGAGTTGCTATCAGGATTCCCCAAAATCATCGTATACAGACAACTTTCGCTCGTTGGGCTGAACCCGTAGCCCACTTAGTGAAAGGCTGTCTTTAGTTGGGCTGAGCTGTCAAGCTGAAAATTGGTTGAAGGATACACCGATTGTTTATTATCATCACAATCCTTTAGCAACTATCTAAATTGTTCATACATGAGCCCTTCGAAAATGAAACAGCACTGTCAGAAATAACGTTTGACTTTGATTAGGATGGTTACAGCCCAACCAACGAGAGCCCAACTGAAACGTAGCCTATTTAAACATAGCCCAACAAGCGAAATTTGACTGTAATTACATCTGCCAATCCACAGTGGGCAAAAATTGACCTAACCGCGACTAAATTGAATATCTCGACAGCCAAAAGTTTTTAGTCAACATGTTATACATATTCTCAAAGGAAAAACTCTACTGAATCGATTGGTGGTGGTCTCATTGGTCGGAGACTGTATCGGCCACTTTATCGGTCGTTCCGGATCCTCCTTTAGGCCAGTAGAGTTTCCCTGAGGGCGTATATGGTGTCTTTACACCATATATTCTTAGTCATATCAATTTCCAGTAATATACGTTAAGCAAAGTGTAAAATTATGTCGATAGATAGTGGCATTTCCTACTTTACCGGGAACTCGGATTGATCCTGGCCCTCTATCTCGGTACTCAAAAGTCTCCGACCAATGAGATCACCACCAATCGATTCTAACAGAGTTTTTTTTCCGTTGAGAATATGCATAACATGTTGACTGAAATCGTTTGGCAGCCGAGATATTCAATTTAGTCGCGGTTTTGTCAATTTTTGCCCACTGTGCAATCCCTTGACATTTTCGTGCATTCATTCTCTACATACCTCTTTAGAAATTCCCTCTAAGGAATTCTTAGAAAATCTTAGTATTTTCAATGATTTTCGCAACAGTTCTTTTAAAATGCTCTCCATAAACCTCTGCAAAAGTTACCCTTTGTAAATTATTCTGTGAAATATTCATAAGAATTTCTTTGGAATTCATCTCAGAATTGTCTTGGAAATCTAAACAGAACTATTTAGAAATTCCCTTGAAATTTAGTTGAGCATTCTCAACGAATCCTCTCGGGATTGCCTTTAACCTGTCCCCATAATTTGTTTGGATTTCTTCTTAAAATTCACGTTGAGATTCTTCTTAAAATTTGTCAAAAAAATCTTCTTTGAATTTCCTTGTAATTCTCTTCTCAAAATCTCAAACCTGCAGACTGCACTCCTATGGGTCAAAAGTTATTCGAAATAATAATCTATGTCTCAAATAACAATTTTGGTGTTATCGTGCTATTGTTGACCATGATTTAGACTTAGTCCTTAAAACTTGTAATGTTACACACTAAGATTATTTTACAGAAATCTCAACAGCGGAACGTTCGGTAAACAGTTCGGTGATTTTTCACAGATTTCCTATGAAATCTATGAAAAATCACCGAACTGTTTACCGAATGTTCAGCTGTTGAGATTTCGGTAAAATTTCACAGATTTCGGTTAAAAAATCCCAGTGTGTACTCAGGGTATTTCACCATATTTAGCTGTTTTCA